GCTTTGAATTAATTCAATATTGTAAATTTATTTTTTCATTTTTATTTTGTTTTATATAATCTTCAATTTTGTCGAGTTGATTTGCTTTTGTTATTCAAGTTTAGTCTGTCTATGTCTTGTTTGCTTGATTTGAGCTTTTTTTTTTTTGGTACTTGGAGGTGTTAACTAACTGCAAGATTTGACTAGTTATTTATATGTGAATGTGTGTTTTCTTTCCATGATATTTTGTAAGGTTTTATAAGGTTGTTTTCTTTGTGTAATTAATCGACTGAATTTTTTTGTACTTATGCTCTATGATGACTCTAACACTGGCTATTTCGTATTGCCAATTTGTTCTCATCGATTAATATTTATATTCTATGATGTCTGAATCTTATTAGTTGTAATATGTTGATATGTTCTTCTTACTGGAGTCTACCTGCACATTTGGTTGAAATTTTCTCCAATACGAAGATCGACCATTGAACCTGGCATATCATTGATCACAAAAGTTTCCTCAAAGTTAGGATGTGAACTTTTAATTTGGAGTACTACTATTTATGACTTAGACAATATTTAAACTTTAATGTGTTGTAGTACTATTTATAGACTTTAATCATATGTTGGTTTGATGTGTTGTAGCACTAATTATGAATTAGACAATATCTTTGTATTATTATGGTTGGATAATATAATTATCTTAATGTGGTGTAGTTTTAATTAAACACTTTGAAAATATTATTATTATTTCAATGTGATGTACTATTGTTGTTTTAATAATGATGTAATTTTAATTATATACTTTGATAATATATTTTTAATACATTATCAACATCATATTAATTAAACCTACATATAATATTAATTATGAGTTAAAATTTAATTTTAAAAATACTAATAGATAAAGTATAATGAATACTTCAAATCTAAAATTGTGTATTTATAACACAATCAACAAAATTAATATATTTTCTACAAATTTAATTTCATGTACTTATACAAATAAAACATTTCATTTTAAAATTTTATAAAATACAATTTTAAAAATTAACTTAAAAAAATTTAAAATGTAAATAACAAGAAAAATATAAAAATATATGCATTTTTACAAAAAAACGGATTTCGTAAATTGTTTTCAGGAAAACTAACTAAACGTGTAAAACATTTTACAATGCAACATCTAAACAATGTAATTTGTTTTCTGGAAATATAATTCATTTTCTAGAATTGGTTTTCCAGAAAACAAATTACAGCCAAACAAACAGACTCTAAGGGAAATTTTACCGTACGACAATTTTAATATACGACTAAGGAAAGATTTTATCGGTTTTATTATTATTATTTTTAATAAAATCGATAAAAAATTACCTAAAACATTATTATTTTTATCTAAAACATTAATGTTTTTAACATATCCGGTAAAGTGTCCAATAATAACAAAATCGATAATACTTTATCGAATATGTTAACAAAATTAATAAAACGTCCAATAATAACAAAACGGTAAAAAATAATAATATTTATGATAATTTTTAATCAATTTTATTAAAAAATAATAACAAAATTTATAACATTTCGTACGAGATACTTTCCACCTTTTCTCTGTATCCACTAATCTTAGATTCTACTTTTCTCGCTTTTTTGTACGTGTGTGTTTGTTTTTTTTTTTTTTTTGTCACTTCATTCATCTCTCATTTCCTTCTTCACAATCTCTGCAAAAGTTTTCAATTTCATTACCGGGCAATCTCTGCAAACTTCTGCAAATTGCTTCAAGTTTTTTTTTCAAAAGATTCGAGCTTGGAATTCCCATTGGCTTCTTCTTAGCTTCCATCTATTAACGTGCCTGATTTTATTACATCCCCGATCACTTTTTACTTCTACATTGATTTTGGGAGACTTCTTCTCTAGTATGTTTATCTGCCTTTGTTGAAAACTACTACTACTACTCTGTTTTTCCTTTGATATTTTCCTTCTACTAAATCAGTAAATTTCTCTGTGTTTCTCCATCGTCATTATAAAATATTTATTCCAACTGAGTTCCCTTTTGTTCCTGAGAAGAAAAGGTTGCTCAGTTCTCCTCCGTTTTCTTTGGTTTGACAAAGTTTTTACCTCCAAAAATGGGTTTTCTTTACTAAAGTGACTTCCTTAAGCTTACCCAAAGTTGGTAGTTGTTTTTCTTATCATTTAGTGACTAGAAAAAAATGGAATAATTTCATGAGGTAGATCGTTTTGTTCTTGGTGAAGGGAAAAATGGGTAGTGGAAACTCAAAAGCTGGTAAGAATGAAGCCTTGCGTCTATGTAAAGAGAAAAGGAGATTCATAAAGCAAGCTATTGATTCGAGGTATGCTCTTGCGGCCGCTCATGTTTCTTACGTTCAATCTCTTAGAAATATTGGTATAGCTTTAAGAAAATCTGCTGAAGCTGAGATGTTGATAGAGTCTTCACTAATAACCTCGACTACTGAGTTTGAGAAAACCCCATCACAGTCCTCCTATCCTTCATCTCCTTCTCATTTAGGAGTTGATGTTTCTTATTCACCATTGGAAAATGAGAGTCTCATTTCACCGGTAACCACCAATTTGAGTTACATGAGAGCAGCGAATAGTGCTGCTGTGACTGTTGAGGTGAATCCTGCTAATGGTAGTTCTTTGGAGGATTATTCATTGGCAACGGTAATGACAATGTCGCCGCCTTCGGTTCCTCCTTTTGCGTCAGGCTCTTGGGATTTCTTTGACCCCATCGATAATTGCGAGGGCTTTAGATTTGTGGGGAATAATGCAGTCGATGTGGATTTTGAGGATTTGAGAGGGTGGGGGAGAGTTTAGGAGCAAAGGTATTGATCATGGTGTTGGAACTAGGCAGACAAAGGCCAAGGAAATGGGGCAGCTAGGTGTAGAACATAATGTTAATGGTCCAGGTGAAACTTTGGTGAGCCAAGGTGCTCTTGAACAATCAAGTTCAAAAGGGGGAAAATTATGGGGGAGAAAGATTTATCTGCAGAAAGAGTATCATTCTGAGTTTGTAACCCATAGAGCCAAGGATTTTCTTTGAAGCCGTAGATGCTCCTTTTCGTCCGGGATATTAAGGAATTTTTATTATTATATAATATATAATATATATAAAATAAGTTTATATGTAATTTTTGAAAGTATATAGTATATGTTTTGAAAACGTATTTTTGAAATCGTATAATATATAATTTTTGAATATGTAGTTTTGAAAACATATATAATATAGTTTTTGAAAACATATTTTTTTGAAAACGTATAATATATAGTTTTTTAAAAAAATGGTTTTGAAAACATATGATATATAGTTTTAAAAAATAGTTTCGAAAACGTATCATATACAATTTTTAAAAATTGTTTTGAAAACGTATAATATGATTTTGAAAATAATTTTTGAAAAATATATAATATATATAATTTTTTGAAAACATATTATATATTTGTTGGAAATATAATATATGTTATATAGTTTATTATTATTATTATTTATTATTATTTTATATATTAGGTTATATTATTATTTATTTATTTAATTTTATTTTTAACGGGTCTAATTCAGTCCAAAGTGCAGCCCAACTGAGCTAACATGCCTGACCCAGCAAGCCAGCCCGGTTAGGGGGCTTGACCCAGCCCAAAAATAATTAGGGTTCTATATTAAGCAAGGGCTCCGCACGGGGAATGCACGTAGAGGCCACACGCCTTAACAATTCGAGAGTCGATCGGATTTCTCGACCCCAAAACATGAAATCGGAGCAGCAACGACATGCCAAAAGATCAACCAACACCCCGAGATATTCGGGACCACAACGGCCGACCATAAGGCTATAAACCAGGCACAACAACAAGACACAAGAAAAGATCACCGAAAAAACTTCGAAATAATACCCAAGGAAAAATCGAGCAGCAAAATACCAAAAATTCAAGCTACCAGAAAATACAAACACAAAAACAAAGCCAAAGCAAAAGCAAAAATAAAAAAAACAACCGAAATCAAGAGCGAAACAACAAAGCTCAAAGCTTTGTTGCATCACAGGCCGTTGGAAGTACATAGGAGCATCGTTGGAGAAGAAAAGAAAACGTTTCCCCCTAAAAAAAGTAAAAATCCGAACGTTTTTTTTGGTAGATCTACGCCGATTTGGTATCTTTTTGTGCAATCAGGTTTCGGATTGGTGTTAAGGAGGTCGGGAGGAACGTTTTGGTGAAGTTAGATCTTTTTCGGCCATCGGTGGTGGTAGCCGGAGCGGCGGTTGACGGTGGCATCCCATCGGGGAGGGTGACCGGCCATAGGGCCGGTTTGGAGAGAGGGTTGAGAGGGTTTTAGAGTTTTTTTTTGGAATGTTATAAAATGATTTTTTTTGAAGTTTTGGGGTATTTATAACGAGGGACTAGGGCGTAAATATAAGAATCTTAAATTATTTCCGAAGTCTTTTTAAGTGTAATTCATTTTGGTCACATGTTGTAAATTTGTCATTGAATTTTAAATTAATTCGATTTAATCCCCGAGTTCATTTCTTATATTTTGTGAATTGACCTCCTAACTTTTATTTCTTCCCTTGCAGCTCTCCATTAACATTAATTTGACCCTTAATTTTAAATTCTTTCCAATTTAATCCTTCTTTAATTTAATCCTTCTTTAGTGATTATTTTCTTTTAATTTAATACCTTTTTATTTTGTCTTATTTTATTTTACTTAACATTATTTTTACTTTTTTTAGGGCAATTTTAACTTCATCAAAGGTAAGTAATTTGGATCGAACTTTCAAAATTTAATTTAAACTTTAATTTTTGCAATTAAGACAACCGAGAAATTAAATAGGTACCGAAAGGGCAGTACAAGGGTGTTAATCCTTCCATGACTGTAATCGACTCCCGAATCCGACAAATTTTTTATAAACATAGATTAGATAAAAGGTACGCTAGGGTGTCCAATCAACCTAATTTAAAATGATCGGAAGCTAGGTTATGACACAAGCATAAAAGATATTGAACATCGGTTCTTCCGAGCCTTGGAAGCAGGTCTAGAAGTGTCTCGGATGCTTGAGTCTAACAAAATCAAGGTTGGATACTCTGAAGCTGAAGGTAATCCTTTCTGTTCATGAGCAACATTTTACTGCTCATTGAACTTCAAATTTTGGATTCGATTTCTTTTATTGTCTATTCAATTCTAGTGCTACATATAGTTATATACTACTGATTCCTCGTCTGCTATCATCTTACAATAAAATCTCTCATTGTAGGGGAATCCTCGACATTGCTGGAAGCTTTGCGACCTGTTTGCTGTCGTGGGAATACTGCTTTGGTTTCTCATGGTAAGCTCTTTCTTCTGTATGTACTGATTATGGTATTAGTTTTCTGATGTTAGTTATGGTAAGAATTTCTATTTCATTAAGGCAATTGAAGGATAGTCCTTTTAACTTAGTTGACTTCTTACTCTTTTTACTTACCACTTATGAACTGTATCATTCTTTTCTCAAGCCATAATATTGTAGAGCCAATGCAACAAGTAAAGTCATACACTGGAAGAGATCAGCATCTTCTAGGTCTTCTTCATCAAGGAATCCACTAGCCACAGGTGATGCTGACGACAGAGCAATTGATTTTACTGAAGAGTTCTGCATGATTGCTGGTAGCCATTCGTCCACCTTGGAAAGACTGTATGCATGGGAAAGAAAACTCCATGATGAAGTTAAGGTACTTACTGAAATCACTTAAAAAGTAGTGTACTGAGTATCACCAAAGTCCAGTCGATATCTGCCAGTTTTAGTAGCTATGCTTTAAATTCATCTAATGAGCAGTGTTGCCCTTCAATACACTGACATGTTTGCTTTTTTGCACCCGTTAGTCTAGTGAATCTATAAGGAAGAAGTATGATCGGGAGCGTGATCAGCTCAGACACCAGTTTGCTAAGGATCTTAGCACCCAAGTGATCGACAAAACACGGGCAGTTGGAAAGGATCTACACTCCCGAATTAGAGTGGCACTTCATTCTGTTAATAATATATCAAAGCGAATTGAAAAAAAAATGAGAGATGAAGAGTTGCAGCCACAGCTTGTAGAGTTAACTGAGGGGTAAGCTCCTTTAAACCATAAATTTTTGAATGACTTAAACTTCACTCCCATATGCACTTGAAAATCTAGAGTTTACAGAAACAGTGGCATTAATGTCTCGATTAAGCTTATGCTTGTCTTTGCAGATTGCTCAGAATGTGGAAGACAATTCTTGAATGCCATCATTCACAATATATCACCATCTCACTGGCATACCATTTAAGGAACTCAATGGATGCGCCACAGGGAGGTGCGAGGAGGCAAATTATGGCTCAGCTTAAGCAAGAATTTGAATACTTTGGTGTTAGCTTTACCGACTGGGTCAATAGTCATGCATCTTATTTGGAAGCTTTGAATGCATCATAGAACCGCAGGAATGTTTGAAGAATCAATATCCATTCTCATCTCATCGATATCTGGGATACAGGCCACCAATATTTGTCCTACGTCGTGAATGGTCAGCTGTGTTAAAAGCCTTGCCAGATGAGGAACTTAGCGTTGCCATCAAAGCCTTCTTATCTGATATTTTTCATTTAATGGGTCAACAAGTAGCCAAACTACAGAAGACAAATTACTTGATGAAAACAATGGAGAATCCGATAGCAAACACGGTCTTTATGCACTAACAGATGGCAATACAACTGATGATGTATCTTCCGCGTTGAGCTGCATACTGGCAAGTTTGACTCGGGTTCTTGATAGACTAAACAAATTCTGTGAGGCCTCGGTGAAGATGTACGAGGATGTTAGACAAAAAAGTGATGCTGCTCGAATTGCATACCTCAAGTTTCTGGCCAACTAGATTCTGTAAAGCTATGTGATGATTAAATATAAGCAAACATAAAGATTTTGGGTTTTGGAAATAGATGGTTATAGATTAATAAGAGTTGCAAGTAGACATGCAAGATTTGATAATCTGCATTACGATCCGTCTTACAATGTTGATTTCAATGTAGTTTAAATCAAATTTTCCTCAGTGTCTCCACAATTTACGATAGTTATACAATTAGAGGTGCCTCAAAGTTGGAAGGTTTGACAGCCATGAAAATATCTGCATTGTTATCATGTTTCCTGCTTTTCCATCATGTAAAGATCATTGGAAGAGTGAGTGACATTAATCTTGAGGATAGTAGCTTCAGATTGAAATTTTGTTATCAAGTAAAAAAAGATAACTCGAACCTATCCCAGAATTTTCTGCTACTTGTAGTGGCGAAGTTGATGCGTTGAAAGAGGAAGCGATGTTGGTAGATGACAAAAATGAGATTAAAGAAGGGTTTGATTCGTCTTAGAAGATGATGCATCGAATGATGGGTTTAGGAATAAGGTTGTCTAATTCGTGCTCAAAGAGTTGCAGGTCACTGGAATAGTGTGTCCCAGTGTTGTTGATATGCTCATAGCTGATTTTGCTTGAAAGGTAAGGTAACCACTTTTACTTCTTACATCGGATTTGTGGGTAACATTGTATATTCTAACGTGTTAAGGTTGTCTTATACTTATAATCAGCTTACATTTGGTCGGACCTTCATTCTCAAGGGTCCAATAGATGGAAAGTCGATTAGCTAGTATTGGATTTAATTTTCTGAAGTTCACTTGGGTTGAAACCGTCACATTTTGCTTCGTTTTGCAGACAATTCGAATAGAGGCAACAAGTTTAGTTCAGAAAATAAACATGGGACAAGAAATGAACATCAACAGCGAATGGATCTTGGAAATTAGAATCCGGTCTTACAGGTTCTGAACATGAAGGAGCGAGTATCCGATCGAGTTTAGTCGAGTTGACGAGTCAATTTTATAATTTATACTTTATTTGAAAAAAAAATCGAATCAAATAAAAAAAATCGATTTTTTCAAGTTGAATCGAGTTTTACTGACCCAAAAGAGCAGCTTGTAAGTCTGATTTTTATTTTCCATTAGTAACCTACATGTTTCTGACTGGTTTGTGTGATTTCAGACAAAACCATGATGCGGTATGAACCCAAGGTAAATTCTTACTTCAAATCATCATTTTGTATCAATCCTGCATTATGAGATTCTATGTATTTAGGGGAAGTTTTTGGTTGTTAGTGGACAAAATATTGGGGTTTCGATTCTATAGTAAATAAGGTTGTAAACGAATCATTCCTTCAATAAATTATTCACGAACCGCTCCACTAAAATCTCATTTATATTCGTTTATTAATGTTCGTACGAGATAAGTAAAAGGCAGAATTTATTTAAAGATATCTCTCAACCATTTGACTTTAAACGTTCACACCACTTGAATTCATAATACTCAAACCGGAAACCTCAATAAAAAACAACAATTCATTTACCACCGAGATAACTTGGTTTGTACGATATATTTATTATTATATATACAATTATTTTTATGAAATATTTAAATAATTTATATTAAAAAAATTACTTATAATTTTGAGTTAATTGCATCATATGTCCCCAAACTATGACCCTTATTTTAAATTGATCCTTAATCTTTTAAATATTTCAATTTCTTCCAAACTATGACTCTTATGCTAAATTATTCTTTAAACTTTTGAACATTCCAATTTTATCCTCAAACTATAACCCTCATTTTAAATTGATCCCAAAACTTTTCATTCTTCCAATTTCATCCTCAAATCCCTCCAAATATGTAATTAGTTTCCACTATAGTTTAGCCTAAATTTTATTTTTTAAAACATATAATAATATAACTTATTAACAAGGGGTGTGATTAGTATATATGTATATCTTGAGATAAAATTGAAATGTTCAAAAAATTTTGGGGACTAATTTAGAAAGAACGTCATAGTTTGGGGATAAAAATGTTTATAAGTTTGAGGACTAATCTACAACGATAGACATAGTTTAAGGATGATATTAGAATTTTTAAAAATTTAGGGACTAATATAATGAGTATCATAAGTTGAGGACAAGTGATAAATTATTTAGATAATTTAAACCATTTATAAAGTCTATTAAAACTAATTAAATACAAATAAATTATCATTTCGATTAAATCGATGTGTTCAATTTGAATTATGTTCATCTTTCCACGATAATATTTTTTAATAAATAATATTCAATTAAAAGTAATAAATAAAATAAACGCATAAAACATCATTGCTTACGTCATCAATTTGTTTTAGAGTGGGCAATATATTCTGGATTTTTAGCACCCAAATTAAAAGAAGACGCGAGTTACAAAGTCTCTTGAAATTATTGTCAAGTAACAGCAATTAATTCTAAACCTTGTCCACAAACGAAGCTTGTGCTGTGCACTTTAATTAAAGTTCATATTGCTCGCACACTTGGATTCGGAATTTGTACCTCGAAAATAATGATATATCGTATCGTTTTTGTTTTTGATTAATTTAAAATAATTATAAATTGGTATTTATTTAAAAAATTTCTACATATTCTACGAACATAATTATTTAATTCAAAATACTAAAGAAGAGCACTATTCATTTAATGAATCTATAATATTATATAAAAAATTTAACATTCAATTTTATAATCTAACTAATTTAATTCAATTGAATAATTAAAATGTCACGTCGATTTAACATTAGCTTTGTTCATGGGTAATTTACAATAGTTGCTGTTGCTTTCGAAGAAACCCTAGTGAACAAATTGTAGAAGCAACAACTAACTTCAAATCTTATCAACCTCTCGTGCTTTGTTGCCTCACCCATTATTTTTATTACTTCAACACAAGTTGACAATATTTTAGGTCAACTGTTTTTTTATAAAATAATATCACAATAGTCAACTAATTAAACAATTGGATTATTGAACGCATTTCTGAATTAGCGAGTTTGATACTTTTATAAAATATATTTTAAAACTATTTAATATATTATGACAATTATTTATTTCCAATGATCTGATTAGTGTTTGGTTGGCAAGAAAATTTTGACGAAGGTCTAGTTTTGGATTAATACAGTAAACAAGTATTGCAAGCAGCAAAAGTCAATTGTGGGGCTCCATTTTAATTTTTTCATTAGTCATGAATGATTGCGACATGCCACGAAAATGTTCAGATTAAAGTTACTCAATGACTGGATATTTAATGCCATGTTCGCGTTTCAAATTTATTTAAACCAAATTATCCATCTTCTCTATTTGTTAAACCAAATTACCAAACTAAATATCTTTAAAATAATATATCAAGAAGTTTGGTTTTTCTTCAAGTAACAAGATTCAACGTTTACGGTTTAGATCAGTATAAGTTAGAGTTATTTGGGTTAAATATTTATTTTTTTCAATGTCATATATTTATTTATTCATTCTCAATTTTATACATAAACTATTTATCTGTTAATAAATCTATTTATTTTTAGAGAAAATAACCTCAGTGACCGAAAATGTCTTATAATATACGATTTTGACCAATTTTTTTTGAATTTGCCAAAATGACCAACAAAATCGCAATGCGATCTCTAAATCGCAACGCGATCTCCAGTATCGCAAATCAGTTTCCAGATTCGCAACGCGATTCTGACTATCGCAACGCGATAATACAAAATCGCAACGCGATTCTGACTATCGCAACGCGATAATACAAAATCGCAACGCGATTCTGATTATCGCTACAAAATCGCAACGCGATTCTGACTATCGCTACAAAATCGCAACGCGATAATACAA